GAGACAAAGTATGGGCAGTTTTGCAACCACACGGTTCTCTCCTCGGCTGACTTCCTTGAATGAGATGCCCTTCAATTTTTAGCATAAGGATTTTAGAAAAAAGTATTGTCTTATAGATGGAAAAATACAGTAATCAGGGAGAAGATTTCATATGACTCCCTCCCTCCCTCCCTCCATCCCTGTGTGTGTGATGGAAAAACAAGAGAAATGCAGTAGAGTTCAAGTAGCAGTCCTTGAATTAGCTCATCCTGTCACACACATGTTTGATGGGCAACTTGAGGAATCCTCTTAAGGGATTCTAATCTACTTTTGTCTCAGAAGTGAGGGACAAAACATCCTAAAAAAAACCCTTAGTGAGTATTTACAATGACTGAAACAATAATTAAGCAGGTGGGGGGATACGAAGCAACAAGATGGTTGAACGGCACATTTTGTTTAATCCAGCACTTTGCACGGGAAGACTAATTAGTGGTTTTAAATGTTTTGACACAAGAAGCCCAAATAATCATCATAAAACATATCAGACATATGCCCAGGACCTTGAAATGACAGATGACAAACTGGGAAGTGACAGGTTGTTCTATCATGCTAAGGAAATCGTTGAGTTAATGGAAGAATTACGGCTTCTGAAATCCACTTCACTTCTATTGTAGGGAAGCGTTCCAATTTATCAAAGGCAAAAGAAACATTAATTGCAGCTGGCTGGTAAATTTTCCAACCGCCTTGACCTTCATTGAATTTTAATCCCAAACAGATAAGATTTACTTCTGCACACAAGAGGAAACAACACAATTAAAACTCAAATGACAGCAAAGATTATGGCACGGAGGGGTGGGGGTGGGGGAGTGCAGGGCAGGGGACGACAGGCTTAATGACAAAAAGTATCGATTCCTTTGTGTTTTCCATTGCAGAAATAATGAGTAGAGGTGCGCGTGGCACGAAATGGGGGAGATGTTGTCTTTCAAACCTGGAAGGGAACTATTTCCCATTTCAGAGGTTCTGCCGAACTATTTTAGGACTCGGCAGAACTGTAAATCAGAAAGCCTTGGGACTTTCAGGTTTTAGATGAAACAAAATCCAGACAGGAGGAGTAGGGCAAGGCTCTTCCCCTTAGCAGCTTCTAACATGGCATCCCCTACTGGCTGGCTGGCTGACATGTTTTCCAGTCTTCCATTGCTCCCCTTAGCTGCTGTTCCAATGCAGAACCTTCCACCACCCCTGATGTTTCTCACACTTTCCCTTCCCTACTGCTCTGAGATGCCCCCCATATGTCAATATGGCTTGTCTCACTGGGCACCTCTCCAGTCTGCCCAGGGCCTTCCTTCCCATGAACAAATCTTGGCTTTTTCTCTGCCCCTCCGCCCAACTATTTTCACATGAATGAAGCATTCCCATTTCAACCCATACATGGACCAAAATGCCAGAAACCAGTATTCTTTCATTTAAAAGTAAACTTGAGTCATCAAGACCAAGCAATCTCTCCCCCTTCCCCAGTTTTACCTCCTGATCTTCTCCCTGCAAAGGGAAGATTCTGGGAAGCCTCAACTGTCAACACAAGGCTACCTTATATGGGCTACAAAAATTCACTTGATGGTAGCCAAGGAATACAGAACATCTCATGCTCATTTAAATATTTGCAACCTTGATTTATTAGCCCTAATAATGACTGGACAAAGAGTGCCCTTAATTCTCCAC